TATGTATGTATATGTATATTCTACAATTCAAAAAAAAATGGTTTGGAATTTATTAATGGATATAACCCCTTAAAAGCTTTAGGACAAGACCAAAAGACTTAAGCAGCGAACTTGCTCAGATAAAACTATGTAACAGATTTAGCGAGTATATTTTCTTCTAAAAATTAAATTATTAATCGCGTTTTTCCAAAGCCTCATCGTAAGCGTCGTTAACACTCTCTTATTCTCAACAAAATATTCTCTCTTCATCAAAATATTAACACGTCGAGCCTATAGTGCACAAGCTAAGTTAGTTAGCGCCGAGTTGTTGCTTTCTGTGCCAAATTTGCAACTTTGTTTACATAACAAACTTACATACATACATTTACGGTATTTTACATGCTAATATGCCTCTTTGCACAATGAAATCATGTGTGTATGTGCATTTCATGGTCAACTCAATTGAAATAATGTTGGTCAGTGAAGATTATTATGTTTTATGACTCGTAATTCTTAAGTGACTTCTATTAATAGCGATGAGTTGGCGTTTAAAGAAAACAAATATTTTTAGCACTTGAATGAATTATTTCATATATTTTTGAATTCTGTTTTAAATAAGACATAAATGTTAGAGTGAAGTGGCCGAGTGATTTGCTCTCGGCCGTTTAGGGCAATAAAAGTTATGGAATTACAAGCATGCAACTTACTCACATAAACAAGTGAGTAAAATTGTTGTTCGCAAAATATATATATTTATGTAAAATAATAAAATATACTCACTGGAAAATAAAGTCTTTTGTAAAAATAAAAATAGAAAAACTTGAATTCGGTATATATAGATATTGTAAATCGCAAATATGTTAAATAAAAATTAAGGCTGCCACCTGTTGGAAAATTTTAAGTAATAAAACCCATAAGACAAAATATCACTGTTACGGAAATAAAGCCTAGAAATGTTTAAGAAAACTTTAAGTTAAAAATAAAAAGAGTTGCCATCCTTTCGAAAAATTTAATCAAACTAATAGATAAGACGAACTTATTGTTACGTAATTAACGTGAAACTAAACGGTTGAAGAGAACTTATTGTTGAAATTATGGTTTAAAAAACCACGTTGCCACTTGCTTGAAAATTTTATATAAGAAAAATCGTCTATAAAAAGTAAATTTATGATTTAGATCAAATTTACAGTTTCATAAAGCTAACAGTTAAAAATAAACAGGGTTGCCAGAATTTAAAAATTTTCATCAAACTTAGTTGATAATTTAAACGAATTTTAAACAACAAAACATGCAACTAAATGCGTTGAAGCGAGCATAATGTTGGAAATATATATTAGCAGAACGTTGCCACCTATTTGAAAATTTACAAATAGAAAATCAATAAGGCAACATAATACTATAATGTATTACTGAAGATATTTAAGCACCTAAAGTTGCAAATGTATTTTGGGTTGCCGTTGATTGAAATTTTTTAAAATAAATTGATGAAAATTGAACAAATACAGATAAACGTCATAAGAACATTTTCAAAACGTTTAATTTATACGTTATATTAAGTATATGAAGACTCGTTGCACCTTGTTTTTTAATTTTTATTAAAAACTAAAGAAGTTATTATTCAATTCTATATTACAAATAATATAATAAATATCAATACGAATATGAAAATATGTTTAAGTAAGTGTGCTAGCTCTTTACAATTTTTTATGACATAAAATTGTAGAATGAAAGAACAATTTAATAGTTTATGTCAGTGAATGTATGACGATTTATGTCAAAGCATTCTTGCCAGGATTGCCATATTGCAATTAAATTATTTTTCATGATTACTTGTATAAAATTGATAAAATTAATGAGAATTCATAATTTTGTTCTGATTTGTTATATTTGTTTAAAAATATTTTAATTTCAGCAACTTTTTATGTACCCACTTCAATTATCACACCATAGTTACCTCAAACCCATTTTGGGGTCTACGACATTTTTTTGTTTAGTTATGCTTTAAAATTTTATATGTCTAAAATTTTTTGTTTTTAAGAATTGTACGCCAAAGCCAATAGCGAAAAAAAATAATTTTGATTTTTGTGATTTTTCGAACGAAGTTAGTATGTTATAGAATTATTTGGTTTTATTACTTTTGATATTATATATTAGTAACTCAAAATATATATATATATATATATATATTTTTTTTTTAACTTCAATTAATTTATTTTATAAGAGTTTAAGTATTCCTTTTTTATCTTTGAGCGCTTATGACTCCATTCCATTATAGTTGTAACTGTTTCAATAAGGTTCTAATGCATACATATCACACACGAGTATATATTTATATAAATGCATATTTCACATAAATAAAAAATATAAGATTTATAATTAACAAGTAATTAATAAAATGTGATCTTCACTTTTATGCACCCAAACATATGTACATCTAACTGAATCGCTCTATTTGCTTTGAAGCGTGCAATGCAGCGTGTAATTAGAACGTTGCAGGCAACTGAACAAATGATTTATTATCCGCGAGGGGTGTCATTATTCAAAAATAAATGTAATTAAATGGACTTAACATAAACAAATTGCTTATATGTCTACATACCACATAACTAAGTGTTCTGTGTTCTTATGTTTCGTGCATATGTGTTAAGATGTTATATGTGTGTGTTCAGAGAGCGTTTCTCAAGTGAAGTGCATTTGCTAAATTTTATTCTTTTCTTATTATTTTTCTATATTAAAATTATAAAACAAACTTTTTTACATTTATTTTATTATTTGTTGTTGTTATTTTTTGGCTAATTTAGCATTTCCAGTGCACTTGAGCTTATTCCACATATAAAACTCACAATTTACTATAAAACCTATAAATTTAACAAAACAATTACCGCGAAAAGGCAAGCTTGCATGTGTGTGTGTGTTTCTTTATCCGTTTGCCAAGCATGTGTGTGAGCAACTATTGTATTATATGGAGCCATATGACATGGTCAATTAGTTGAGCTTTGCATTGCTAAGCAAAGCTTTTAAAAATTACGCGCCAATAAATTCATTTTAAATTTTTCGGTTTGCCCATTAGCATTTTCATGTGTGAAACGGAAAGCAATAATGTGTGCTTATATGTGTACGTGTGTATGCGTGAGATGCTCTTGAGACTATGCAACAAAAGGGAAATAAATATTTTGTACGTACATTTATGACTTATAGTAAGTGAATTAAAGTAATTTTGAAAAAATTTTTTCAGGAAGGTTGCCACTTGTTCAATTAATAAATTTTTGTATATGTATTTTTATCGTAAGATTTTATAGTTTATAAAAGTTTATAATTATAAAAATATTTTATGGTGAGCTTCTAAAACTGTAGAGAATAGAAAGAATTTACAGGCGTTGATGCTGTGATAAGAAAATTTGTTCTCACTCATAAACAGATAAGTTCAGAAGAAAGCGCAAACTTAAAATTTTAATTCATTATATCACGAAACTTATTTACGTTCATTATTATTCATTAAAAAACTTCGATGAAAAGGCTGCGATATATCTAAGTGACTGAAATCTCGGTTAGTTTAGGTTAGTCTGGTAGGCTAATGAGTAGTTTTGGTCTTTAGCGATGACAGATGGAGTGCAATTTCTATATTATGAGAACCTGAAGGTGCCAGCGCTTCACTGTCGATACCTCTTGCAGTGTCTCATACCGTGAAGCCCCCCTTCACCTTTGAAGTGTTGCCTTGCTAATGCTGACAAGTGCACCAGAGATGCTACTTTCTATTTATTATACTTATCTCTTACTAACTTTTTGCTTTTCTTAATTTTCAATTACAGATTTTCGAGGTTTCCAATGACAACAGCTCCCTTCATCCTTCCTTTTAATCCTAAGAAGCCATATTTATGCTCCAACAGTAGTTGAAGGAAATTACATATACATAATACGAATATCTACTAGCATATTGGATTTACAAGATTCTGTGTATAATATGGTTGCTCTAGAATTAATAAGTTGTTTGACAACTTTTTCCACACTTTAGACTATAATTCTATAAGCATCTAAGGCTTTCAAACCAAAACTAGAGCTTCTAGATATACCATAACTTTTCAAGCATCTCTATCAAATATAATTCTGGCTTCGACTCACTGTTTCACAGTGTAAGATTGTTGGCGTGAATCTTCGGCAAGCCGCCAGGTTGAGGTCAATATGTGCGCATGTGCATGAGAGCAACAAAGTCAACGAGCAGCTGCTGCATGTTTGCGGCCTAAACTCGAGGACACTGTGGCGGTCGCTGTGGCAAAGTTGAGCAAATGAACGGATATGTCAGCACCGAGCGTCAGCTGATAAATGAAGCTGGCAGCAAAAAGAAGAAGACAAAATATTTTGCCAAAATTCGTTGGAGGTGGCAATGATGCTGTTGTAGCGCTGGCGGCCGTGCGCTATGTGCCACTGCCAAGCGATTTGCAATAAAAATAACAATAAAGCGACAACAACAACAATGCACTAGCAATGACTAGAGAACTAAGCATAACCACAACAAAAGACACTTAAATGGAAGCGAATGCGCTCGATGCTCAATTTGTTCGGAAAATGTATACAAGTGTGTATGTGTAGGTGTGTGCCTCGGCGCACGAGAGTCGGCATGGAGAAACGTTTAAGCGCTGGTGCGTTTTCCGCTAGTCGCGTGGTGTGGGGTGCGGGTTGCGCGCTAGTCTAGCGGCGTTGGCCATTAATTGTACTGCTAGTAACTGCAGAGAATTCACTAATCAATTTTTGTTGTTATTGTTGTGCATGTTAACCATATTTAGGCATGTTATTGTTGTTGTTTTAGCCGTTTAAACATTTCTGTTGGCTTCGGTTGGCTCAATTGTGCCATTTTATAAGAATAGAATTCGTATTTTCAACATTTTCAAATTCAGCAACCACAACAACAACGAAAAACATTGTAAAAACAGTAAGGAATAATAATTCATGTAAACGCTTTATTTTAGCGCATATAAATAGTTGTGTCTTAATGCTGTAGAGGATTAGTTGTGGCAGAACCTCTGGTGACAACAGTTGTACTTGCAACAACACAAAACGGTAATAGTGCTACAAAGAGCAAGTGTTCGTTTGAAACGACAAACAGTGCTTACGAAATCCTTTCCGAAATGCAACGCATTTGCTTAGTGTTGTTTAGCTTGTGCGCAGTCGCCATGGCCGGCTTCCTCGGTGGCGGCGGTAGCGGCTGGAGCTCTGGTGGAGGTGGCGGTAGTCGTGGCTGGAGCTCCGGAGGCAGCGGTGGTGGTGGTTGGAGTGGTGGTGGTGGCGGTGGTATCTCCTTATGGCCCAGCAAATCCTCTTATAGTAGCGCGGCGGCGGCAATGGCTGGCGCTCTCGGGCGGTTGGTCTGGAGGCGGCGTGGCGGTGGCGGCGGCTGGCCGGGCAAATCTAGCTACAGCAGCGGCTGGTCGAGTGGAGGTAGTGGTGGCAGCGGCGTGTGGTGGTTGGAAATTAAGCAGTCTCGGTGGTTCAGGTGGATACGGTCGTGGCGGCGGTGGTAGTGGTGGTTGGGCGCAAGCGCTATCTGGTTGGAAATCGGGTCTCGGTGGTGGCGGCGGTGGCAGTGGCTGGAAGTCAGGTGGTGCGGTGGTAGCGGCTGGTCACTAGGTGGTGGAGGTGGTGCAGTAGTGGTGGCGTTTGGAAGATTAGCAGCGGTGGTGGCAGTGGTGGTTATGGGGCGGCTGGCCATCAAGTGGCAGCAGTGTTTGGTCATCTGGCGGTGGTGGCGGCGGTTGGAAGTGGTAAATCTTTCAATAGAGCCGTGAAGATCAATAGCAAACGAAAATGTTGTGTTGCGTTAAAGTATTTCCCCAAATGTGTATTTAAGTTAAGTGAAGGCAGAATTATTAAATTTAAGCATACATATTTCACGCACTCACTTGCATACATATGTACATTTTTGTAGGCGGCAAAGGAGGTGGAAGTGGCGGATGGCAATCAGGCGGTGGTGGCGGCGGCGGTAAAGGTGGATACGGTGGGGGCGGCGGCGGTGGTTATGGTGGTGGTGGCAGTAAGTGGTAATTCATCGCTTTCCCACACCAAACGATTACGGCATACAGAACGGGATTTGTTTGAATGATATATGCTCTGCTTCACCTAACTGGACTATTTCGCTTGTCTTGAAAAAAAAAAAACATAAAATTAAAACTTTGGTAAAACTTTTATTTTCGACTCACATAACTATGCTGGTTTATATCTTTATAATAAAGGATAATTTATAAATATAAAATGGCATTTTAAAAAGGCATTATAAACTAATTTCTTTGTGGTTGCTGATATTATAAAAATTATCTTTTGATTAGAACTATAATTAAATTGTGCGGTTAGAACTACGTGCATTAATAGTGAAATTTTT